GATCTGATATTTCTAAGAATTATATTTTTTTTTTGTCAGGATGAGTTGTTGTGGGGTTTGCTGCATGACAAAAAAACAATCAGGTCACAAAATCAGTTGAAAAACTTATATAAAATGGTAAAAAAAAATAAAAATAAAATAAGTTCAAGTGTAGCATTTATTTAAAATATGGTATGCACAGCAATCACAAAATATTAGATAAACATTTTTATAATCTACTGTTCAGCAATACATAAATAAATAAAATTATGCAAATGTGCATTACAGTATCTCATTCAGCAGGTGTGCCAAAAATAAACCAAAAAAAGCAAATATCCTACTTACATTTTTAATTAAGTTTATGTAGAAATTCCATCTTTCAGCACACCTTTTTGCAATATGTTCCAAGCACATATCTATCATAGATTGGAAAGTTGCCAGGTCAGGGATGCAATCACACTGCAGCATTTAAATTAGACTTTGTTATATCATGCATGGCAGACTCAGTTTAAGTGGTTATTTTCTTTAACATTGTTTCATTAGCAAGTATGAGAGTAGACATTTTGTATTGTTGCACGGAATAATTAATCCACCAATGATTTAATACAAATTGACACAGAATTACAGTTAAGGACATACATTGCAGATATGGAGAAACTTAATCCCCAGGCACATACTTTTTACAACTTTGGTGAGTAACATATTAATAGACACACTGATCAGTTAAATTCAGCTTGAAAATTAGCTCATTTTCTGTTATACGCTTAGTGAGCTATTCACTAATTTTTGACGGCTTGTCCTGTCACTTGACCAAGTCTGTGATTTCTTTTCAGATACTCCTAATGTCTGAATTTGAAAAACTGCTGAAAGGAAAAATTTGACAAGGATCATTTACTTACTATTCAACAAGGGTTCATTATGGTTCTTAGTGTCAGTTCAAGATAGTTCAAAGTGGATCAATGTGGTAAAATAAGTATCTTGCTCTGCTGTGAAAGTTAATATATTGGGCTGAGAGAAACTAGCTTATACTGACCTGAAACACCTTTTCTTTACAAATGCTAAAAACATCAGATACAATGTTATATCATAGTGGAGGAACCCACGTGTCACTGATTTGATAAAACTTTATAAAAAAAAAATAAAAAAAATTTGTTTGGAACAAATGTGTTTGAAAATACAGCATTGAGTTTCATTTGTAAGTAGACGGCATACAATATATTATCTTTAATTTGTATCTATATGTTTTATATGTGATTTTATTTTTATTATTATTTTTAACTCCTTAAAGACTAGATATTAGACAAATCTCAATATGTCACCATATACTTGGCGTATTATTGCTTATTAGTAGTTGTTACTACAAATAGAATATTAGTCCAAGAGCCAGTTAAAATGAGAGAAAATTATTCAAAGCCTCTTTCAATGCTAAAATATGATTCTATCATTTTGTTATGTAGTAATGGGAATGTTCTGCTAGAAATGGGAGATACATTAAGATGTTCTCTAAATGTCAAGTATAAGAGTGTTTTTATTATTGAAGGAACACTCCATTTAAAAATTGTATATTTTCTTAGAAACAATTTAGTAGCTATACCCTCAGTAAATGCATGTAAGCTTCTGTTTTCCATTGGGGTTATAACTAAAAACAAATGTCAAAGCTGAAAATGTGCTGTCTGCAGTCTTTCCAAGCCCTCCCCTTATTCCCCAGCCCAGACTTTCTGTAGCTGTCCAATCACAAACTTCCCAATACAGCTCGATAAGAAGTCTTTGCAAGGCAGGTGCTCTAGGCAATTGCCTGCCTCCTGAGTTTACCTCCACTGAGCTAAGCAACCATGGCCTAACAGGACCAAATTATCTGATTGACAGCCCCAGGATATAACAAGTCTCATTTATAAAAGTGCTAATTTCTATTGAAGTCTACACTTTTAAAATTAAAAAAAGAGGATGCATTCTTTTTACATAGAGCGCTTCAACTGGCTAAAGTGTTACAGATGTATGGAGTGTTCCTATACTTAAAGACCATACTTTATTTTGACTTTAGATTCAGACATTTAAGTTTAACAAACACATGTAAGTCTGCATAATATTGCTGTGCATATATCATAATACATAAAACTGTGGGTAGATTTAGAAAATATGTGCTTAATTTTTTTAGAAGAATAGGGGTTACCGAATAGCAATGTTCCCATAGACTTGAATTGAGGAATTGCTGGTCAGTAACCATAAGCAGAATAAAACCTTTTATGGCAAAGAAAATCCAGACCTTTTAATTACAGCGGAAAAAAACAAAATCCATTTAAAATCACTGGACATTTTTTATCTAAAAAAAAGCTAAGGCATCCCAGATGGTTGGTTCAAATCAACAGTTCAGACATCTGTATTTTTTAATACTATCTAAGATGTTAACATTGGTCAATATCATTAATAGCTGTTTTGTTTTTGTTGTTGTTGTTGTAAGAGTGATTAAATTTCTCAGTGAATAACAGAGTGCTAATATCATAAACTGTGGTAAAGTCAGTACAGCTCTGTGTCTTGAAATTGAAGAAAAAAAAAAGATTTAAAACCAAAAAATATAAAAGATGTTGTCAAGCCCTATTAAAATGTTCTTCAGGTAGTATTTCTTCTCTGTCTTCTAGTAAAAACTTTTATCCTCTGACATTTACATCCAGGTTACTCCTTCTCTTTTCTGTTTTTCTGTATCACGGAATTTAGTTCCTTGATTAGTTTTGGTGGCATTTTAACACTGGAGGCCAGGGACAGTTTATTGTATTGATCTGGTATATTAATCTCCGAACCTGTCCTTTGCATTTCACTGCCATCATAATTGCTTGGACTATCAAGATTTAGCAAACTATAGTGTTTCTTTTGTTTTGTAAGTTTGCCATCTTCTTTGCTTTCCAAGACTTCAGCCAACATAGATGACCTTTGTTTCAATGACAAACTGACATCTTCCCTGGATAATGCCGGATTTAATCTGTGCATTATTTTGCTAGACGATGGGTTTGTACCCTTAAAAAAGGAACATAAAAATGTAGATATTAATATCTCAAAAATAAACATGACACAGGTAAATAGAAGCTTATATTGTCCATAAAAATATTTATGTATCATTTATATAAATACAGTCCTCAAGGGTATATCGAAGTTATTATTAAAGCGGCACTGTCATGGCCGAATTTAGTTTTTTTAACCCCCCTCCCGACTCCACTACATCTAATTGTCCTCCTAGTCACACCCAAATGCCCCAAAGCCCCCCATGTTACCTATTTTTTCAACTTTATTTTCTGCCTGGACCTAGGTGTTGGGCGCCACCATCTTTGTGTGGGTAGATAAAGTCCCTGTGGGACATGTCATCTACCCACACTAGATAGCACTGTAAAATTCCCATGCATGCCCAGTTAAACAGTTGGGCATGCGAACGGGAATTTCATCCATTCATTCATTCGTCAGACGAATAAATGAATAGAAATTTCAAACAAATGAACGAAGACCTCTTCGATCGTTTGGTTTATTACAAAGAGGGAGCTACCAGTGCGCAGCTCCCTCCTTCTAATATGTAATAATAGAAGCCGCAGGGAGCAGTGCTCCCCGCCACTTCCTAAGCCCCCATGTCCTCCCTCACTCTATGGGGTTTAATATGACCCCCATAATAGCATAAGGGAGAATAAAATCTCCCTAATGCCTCTACTTGCTATGCTGCGAGTAAGGGCATGTCTGCTAAACTGTTATAAAGCCCCCCACGGCCCTTCTAAAAATGGCCCCATGGTGGGGCATCTATTAACTAGTGGGAAGGCCCCATGCCCTGTGAGTGGAGGCTATGCAACTAAACGGGGAGGCCCCCACCTGCCACTAATTGAAAATAGGGGGGACCTATTGTCCTCCCCCCGGCCCCCACCCATGAGCGGTGGGTGGGGGCCCTGAATGAAAATGGGGGGACCTATTTTCTCCCCCCTGCCCCTGGTCCCCACCTATGAGCGGCGGGTGCGGGCCCTGAAAAAAATGGTGTGGGGGGCTATTGTGCGTTAGGTGGATTTTTTACAGTAGCTTGAAATTATAAGACTATTGTTTGTTTTTTTCACCTTGATTTACAATTGAGTTTTGATTGGTATTTCATTTTTTAAGATAATGGTATACAAGATCATTGTTTAATCTATTATCAGTCTATTCCAAGAGAGATTATTGCAATACATTGCAGCATTCAAAAAAGTTGTTACAAAAAAAAATAAAAAATATTTTTTTCATAGTGCATGACTAAAAGCGGACTATATCAAGAGAAAAAATGTGTTATTCTGAGCTAAAGTCATAAATAATGAGCAATCACTATGTAAACCAAGAGAAAGTCCCTCAATATTTAGCATCTTGCCCACAAAACAGCTTTTGCCTTGACAAATTTCCTCCAAAATGTATGTGAAAGCATGTATTTTAATGTTAAATACATAGTATCAAGCTGTTTACTGTATTTTTATGAAACAAACAGGGCTACTTACTAAAGTGAGAATTCAGAGGAATTTTCAAATTTTAGGTCAAAATAGCTGAACTGGAATAATTCTCTAGCCTATGATAAAGTGGCATTAATGGCCAAGAAACATGTACAGCGGGACCAGATTTCAGCGCACAGTGTAGAGCAAGTGAATGTCCACACTGACACGCGTAAACAGCGGACCACATCTAACGAGTGGAGCTCCGAAATAGGCTTGGCATGGATTCCTCACTCAACTCCAGGGAGGTGAGCTGCAATGGATCCTCTGCTCCACGCCAGGATTCCTCCACAATAGACCTTACCATCCCGAGTGCCGACATCGGAAAGGCCTGCAGGATTAGGTACTGAATAAGCGGTTACCCCAGATTAGGAACTTAGTTTGGTTGTGAGATGTTCTGCCTGTGAATATTTGAACTTTGCATATGTAAAAACTGGGATTTCTCAATGTAACTTCTGCCCATATTAGGAGCAGGCTACTATTTGGATAGGAGCTTACAGTTGCATACATTTTCAGCTGCATTTGGACACGCTTAGAAACTGTTGCATTATAGACTGTTTTTCTGTATTTGGATATTTCATTTCAGTGTGTTTCTAAAGATACTTTGTATCATTTTAAATTATTTGTTTTGCCCACTGTAACTTTAGTGTGCCATTCATTCAATGTTTTTAATGTCGATATTTCTATTTTTCTATTTAAAGTGTTAATCAGACCTATATATTGTCTATTTCCTTCTTTATATTTTTGTTTTTGTTTTCCAAAGCAATTGTTCCTAGCATCACAGAACCAATTTCTGTATCTTCATTATTGCAGTATTGATAAAGGTTTTTGGTGACCTTTTTTCACTGATTTTTAGAGCATTATCTAGTAGATAATTCCTTTAGTTGATTAATTGTATTACATAGAGACATTTTCTGAATCTCTAACCTATATTCAATTCTCCAAGAGGGTTAGGCAGAACCATATGGCTCCAAATGGGGCCATTCGAACTGCAAAATCCGGACATTTTAAAAATAATTAAACAATGTCTGAATTGGGTAAATCAGGCAACGGGCCTGAATTTGGTCCAGTTTTCAGCCACACCAAGGCTGGGCAGCTGAAATCCAGAGCGAATTAATTAAATCCAGGCTCAGAGTCTTCAACTCTGGGCTTAGATTTAAAAAAAAATCCAAACTACTTGGCCACTGTGAGCCCTTTATAGGTGAATATAATTTATTTTCTAATTGGGGAACTTTTTTTTTTGTCGCCTTTTTTGCAGTTTGGCTTTTTTTAATTTTAATTAGTGGCATCGGTTAAATATGGATTTTAATTTGCCATTTTTAGGTGCTGAGGAACTGAGGAATTAGTAGAAAAAAGATTTCTGATGGTAAGTATATATTTTTTTTAATAAGTTTTAGATATATTAACCCCCCACACTATTATTAGGACTTTACTTTATTTTAGAGGGTGGCTAAGGGTTTTGGGAGATAGCAGTCCACCACATTTTATAATTAATTAGGGACACCATCCGCCTCCCATGGGTTGGGCCCACGAGGGACACCTCCAACATTAATATTTATACAAGCCCCGACCTGATGCCCATTGGTACCAAATTCTATAAAAAGACACAAAACAACATCTCATAAAAGCAGGGCATATTCCTGACATTTTCAATTTGGCAAAGAAAAGGGATTATTTGTTGACATTTTGTTCAGTGTATGGTATGCTGACTAAATGAAAAGCTGTCAGGGATATGTAATAAAGTGAGAATTCAAAGTGAATGTTCTTCACAAACATGTCATATATAGAATCAAAATATATAGAAAAATAATTTTACTTAATCATAACAGATATGTTATAATGGTGATATCAAACAGACTATTTCATATTGAACATTCCTTTTTAAACAATCTTTAAAGTGTATGTTGAAGATATGACTGGTTTCACATGCATTCGAATGCGGATTAGATAAGTGCTTCAAATTCCTTGAACATGATGTAGTTTAGCAGAATTATATCATCAACAATATCTTGATAACTGCTTATGCTATATGTTTTACTGTTCCAGGGACCTAACTGTATATTTTTAATTTCTATTAATTAATGTAAAATTGTTCA